ATCGTGAGTAGCATGAATTTCAAAACGTCAAAAATCAAAACTTTCTCTCCCACACATATTTAATCCCATGACAAGTGGAGGCACTCGAAAGCAGCCCGAACAGCACATATCAGCATGCATCCGCTGGCAAGACTGCATATGATTCTTTTTTAAAAACTGATTACGAGCAAGCGTTTCATGTTTTTGACTCCTTCGACATATGACAATGCCAATCTACTGTCAAAATGAATGAACGAATTGCAGAGAGATTAGTTTTATCAGTGACAAAGTCGAATAATTAACCCTTATCACGAAAGCAATGCTGCTCATTACTGAGTCACGCCAGCTAATGAAGCGGTTATTGTGGTAATGGTAAGAAATGTATACGACTTAATGGACCGAAACATTTCTTAACAATTATTATAATTCTACTAATTTCATAATTCTTATTCCCCACCTTTCTTTTTGATTATTCTTATTTCAACCGTTGTTAAAATACCTTTCTATTGAATCCCGTGGTCAACCGCCCTTAAGCACAGGACATGTATAGCCCAGGAGTCCATTAAAAAAAATTTACCGCATTTACCTTGCTCATCTTCACTGTTCGCATGCTGTGATTGACCATCGGTGCTTGCCGAGCAACTTTTTGAGGAGACTCGCGATTCGGACGGAGGCACCGAACCGGCACTCGCATTTGATGCCGGTGATGGGCGACTCATTTCACTGGTATTTCTTGTCCAGGATACATCTGCTGCGCTACTACTTCTGTAATACTATGAAAGGTAAAAGGCCAAACGGCACTAATAATATTAAAAAAAACAGAACGAGTGATATTATTTCGAGCTATACGGATTTAACTAAGTAAAACTATACAGATCTAAGTGAAGCTGCACAGACTAACTGCGTGAAATTATGCAGACCAATTGCGCGAAACTATACAGATTTAACTAAGGATTTAACTAACCAGGATTTAACTATACAGGGATTTAACTAAGGATTTAGCACAGATTTAACTAAGCCACAAACACTGCTATATCACCGGGGATATTTTGCGTGCCGGAAAAGAATAAAAGTCCGGTGGTACCCATGCGCTACTGTGAGGTTATATGGAGCCAACCGTCTGAGGTAAAATCTTACTTTCGCCATCATATTAATCAATTACAAAATTTGTATCAATACTCATCTGCTATAACATTTTTTCACTATTTAATATGCACTACACAACTAATTTAATCTTAACTTCTACTAATTTCAATTATCACCACAATCGTTGTACTGACGACGAGGTCTAATTGTGGTAATGGTAAGAAATGTATATGACTCAATGGACCGAAACACTTTCGCCATCACATTAATCAATTACAAAATTTGTATTATTACTCATCTGCTATAACATTTTTTCACTATTTGACGTGCATTACACAACTAATTTAATCTTAACTTCTACTAATTTCAATTACCACCATAACCGTCGTACTGACGACGAGGTCCAATTGTGGTAATGGTAAGAAATGTATACGAATTAATGAACCGAAACATTTTTTACCA